TATATATATATGACTGTAACACTCTGAGACCCTCAGTAGCCAATCTTACCTAGCAGTAAATAGTTAAGGTGCAGTTGGTAGAAATAACAGGACTGATCAGTGCTACTGTCTACTGAACATCTACCATGCGCCAGGCATGTGACAGATACTATCAATGCACCATCTTGAATCCTTCTACATCCCTGACACAGCTCTTTACAGAAGATGGATACTCAGGGTGGTTATGTGACAGGCCATGGACTCAGAGCTGTAAGGTGCTAGATCAAGGCTACAGAAACAAGTCTATCTGGTCCCAAAGAAAGCACATGTCCCCTTCTGTACTATATTGCCTCACATGTGATCAAACGCATGTACTGACCCTTCCTCTGAGCCAGGCACTGTGCTAAGTACCAACCCCATGAAGTTAGTGCAGCTGGGATTCAAAGTCAAGGTATTTCTGATCCTAAAGTCTGTGTTCTGGTTTTACCAGTAGAGGCACAGAGGCGTTGAGCAGCGTGGTGCACGTGGGTAATTTTAGGCAGTTCAGAGCAGTTGGCAGAACTAGAATAGTTTGTAGGTGGCAGGGTTTAAGGAACAGAGAGGCAAGACTTGGCCTAGATGAGGAAAACAGGACTATGGAAGGCCTCTCATGTCATTTAAGGAGTAGTAACGGTCTGGAAGATTCTCCTGGTAGCAGTCTGGAGTCTCGCATGCTAACTCAGGAGCTGGAGACACTGCTCACACCACAGGTGGCAGCAGCTGGACGGAACAGCAGCCTCCCCAGAGCATGGGGGTGGCTCCCTGCAGAGCGAGCAGGGGTGAGACAGAGAGTGACTGCTGTAGGAAGTATGAGTAGGCCGAGTTAGAGACACTCAACTTTTAATCATGTAACAGGAAAAATCTTCAGTTTGAGCCTCCAACCCAGTTCTCCACAAGCTCTTACGGACAGACTGCTCTTTCCTTTCCTTACTTATGTCAAGGGTATCATTTTCTAAATGTTCTGAAATGTTCTGACCTGGAGGCAGGCTCACTCTGTAGTACCAGTCACCCGTGTGCAAAAAATTTTCACAAAAAAAGCGAGTGCAGGAAAATCTTTTTACCGCAATCAATTACTGGTTCCACATTTCTTTGAAAAGAGGAGGGGAAAAAACACACCCCTGGGAATAATTAGTGATGTGCTTAACTGCCAGCCCGGCACCAGTGAAACTTATAGAGTGCTGAACTATTTAGCTGAACAATATTTAAATTAAAAACTAATGACTAGGTTAATTTAATACACGCTCATCTCTGGTCCAACTCTGTCTCTACTAATTGAGCTCCACAAATCTGTATTTTTAACATGCACCCTACTCAGTGAACGGAAAACATCTGAACACTTGACTATAACAAGTCAGTTACTAATAACAGCTTCTTTTAATCTACATTTTATTGTCATTTTAGATGTTTAACCATAAGCTATTTACTGGACTATTTGCCAATGGGATGAAAGGAATATTGTGCCACATAAAATGCACAGAAAATATCCTTAGTCAATAAAATGAGTTACATTAGGCAACTTGAGCGCTCTATGCTTGAGCTCCCCAAGTTCCATCAACACCTTTAAAAACCAATCTCTGAGTATTTACACTTTGTCAGGGACAACCCAAGCCCCTCGTCCCCCTTCATCCCACTTATCCTCCAAACCCTACCTTCTCTCTCTCTCACCCCTTACTGAACAATGCATCTGACATATGTAACTCCTTCACAAAGCTGCAAGAAATTATAATCGTTTACAGATTTTTTAAAAGTGTGGAGAATCAGTCCAAAAAAAGAAGTTATGGTAAAATTCCAAAGGCACATAGCTAAGCACGGTCTGGCAAACACATGACATACCTATCCTTGCGGGGAGGGTATGGAACAGGCCACCCCTCCAGCTTCTGCGAACCATAAATGTCACAAACAGTCTGAGCCACCCACAGAGGACCAACCTAAATCTGTATGTGGGCTCATCTACTCAATCCCACAACAGTCACTGAGCATAAAACACACAAAATAGAACCAAAAGGGGAAAAAAAAATGTTTTCACACTATAGCACAGAAGAAAACTTAATAAGCAAACACTTGTCCATAAAGAGTTGACAGCAAGAAACCTCCCAGACGCCACATGAAAACAATATCTGAATGTGAAGCTGGCACCAGAACAAACGGGATGGAGTTATGAAAGCTGGGGTTTGGAAAGTGCCATAATTATTTATAATAGCAGCAACTGTCCTGGATTCCCCTCATCAAAAAAACAACATGGAGGCAGGCTACCAGCCATCAATTTCTGGATCTTACAGTGTGTCCCAGGGGTGTAATAGAAAGAGAGAGCATAGGAGCCAGCAAGCCTGATTCCTAGGCCCATTTCTGCTACGATCCAGCTATGGGACCTTGGGCATGTCACTAGAGAAGTCTCAGAAATCTAGGTGACCTAGGGGCCCTGTAGATTAAGGATGTTAAAGTATGTATCTGCATTCTCAGATCGCTGGGGGCGTGGGGGTTGAGAGGGTAGTAGAGGAAGGGAGGCAGAAGAACAGAACATTAGAAGGCTTATTTATTTCTCCCCTCTAAAATAAAATAAATTTTTCAAAAAGGCTTATTTATCTTAAGTATCTTACATGGAAGGTGTAGAAATAAAAACATAATCGTCCTCAAGCAGCTTTGGGAGATACAGAAGAAAGGGACCTACCCTTGGACTCGGGAAATTTACAATGTAGCTCCTGAGATAAAATAAAGAGAAGGAATTAATCACATTTTCTTTCATTGGAAAAGTCTAATCTGCCACCCGATACCTCTATGTCCTATAAAATAGTCCCCAAATACTTTCCTAACCTATACCCAACTATCTCCAATCATAGGTGGTTTACGCCTTCACAGGGCAACCCATTCTATTGTTAGAAAACGAACTTCAAACGTCTTTCTTCTAGTGAGTCCAAATCACTTTCCTCATAAGTGCTGCAGGCCCTGGTTCTGCCCTCCAGCTTCAGAGAAGAGGTGAACTCCTCTTCCTCAATCAGATCTTCAAATTTGGAACGAGCTGCTCATTCCAACCCCTCTACACATTCCCCAGCCAGGTTCAATACCCACACTTCTTTCAACCCTTCCTCATCTACCGTGGCTTCCAGAGCATTCATTAGCTGTCTGCCCGAGTCCGGTTTGGCAAAGCAACTCTTAATATATGGCACCACGAACGGAACACGATATTCCTAATGTGGTCTAACAGTTATATCCAATTCAAAAAAAACATTTATTCTATGCTCCAGGCTAATATTTTTCTTGATCTTAACTATACTTTTATTAACACACCCTAAAAAACCATTAGCTTTGTTTGTTTTAGCCCATTTCAGATGACCATGATATAAATGAGAGCAGATTCGGTTACCCAAACTATCAGTTTATTCCTGTGTTGCCAGGTCTATAGTCATCACAGTGTAGCAAGGCAAGGTTTTGAGCCTTGTGGACCTGGGTGGACACTGATTTCCTAGCACGGTGATCTACAATTGGAAAAACACTGGTTCACTTGCAGTGTTTCATTCAGTTCTCTGATAAAAGTGATTTTTAAAAGTCAAAGCCAATGACAGGTTTGCATGGCACCAATTATCCTCTAGATTAGTAAGTATCCACCAGTCTAATTAGAGAGTGACTGTCCCTTGTGTTCCAGGAGTGGAAGTTGAGATGGTCTCGTTAGTGAAGGAAAAGGAAAGAAAAGTACCAATTCTGGGCCAGGCACTTCATACATATTACCTCATCTCATAACAAATTGTAAGATAGTTACATTGTTTTCACAGAGAAAAAAATAATTAAGAAATGTGTCTAAGATCACAAGGGTAATGAGTAAAAGAGCTGGGCTCAGACACCTGGAAGACTGTGTGGTACCAAATATAGATGCAAAGGGGACCAT